GAACTTTAACCGACTCTAAAAATGGTCTAAGGACTGGCTGTTGCCGTTCAACGAGAGCAAGTTCAATAGTATACGAGTCGGCAAAACCAGCTTTTCTAACCGCACTTTTTACCGACTGAATGGCACACAATTGCAAGAAGTGGACGCCAAGAAGGACTTGGGTGTGCGGATCACGACTTCACTCAAACCGTCACTGCATTGCTCAAAGGTGGCTACGTAACCTGCAATGTCAGTTCTATACCTCGTCAAACGTGCATTACCTGCCTTCCATGAAGACCGTTTCGCTAAGATCTTCCAAACTGTTGTGCGGCCGCAACTAATGTTTTTTATTCGAGCAGAGACCCTGGACTGCAACTGACCTCAGCGTCTTCGAAAAATTGCAATAGCCTGGAACTAAACTCGTAACGGAACAGAGCTCACTACCCTATGAAACGTGATATCCTAATCGCGATCTTTTTCGCTTTATTTACATGCAGCAACAAGGGACCTCATACAGACTGTCCGCATCATAAACGGTCAGAACTGTTGTCTTATACCTAAAGACTTTTCCGAGCTAGCACCTACAACCAATATGCGGGGTTATCCACTCAAAATATGTGGTTGGTGCCAGGCTGGACATCAGAAAGTTCTGCTGCGAAATAATTTGTGAGCCCTTTCACCATTGCGGAGCTTGGGGTCTTCAATAGGCAGAGTTGGTGTGCCAAAATTTGTCAACTTCTTTTGCGAGGTCCCTGCCGAAACCCGTAGATATGAAAGCCAGCTAGCAGTGAAGAGATGAGACCGTTTATTCCAAGCAACAATGAAAACGCTGGATCCAGGACACAAAGTTGCATAGAAGAATATTCGCACTTTGGTGAATGTCCAACAACGAAAGTTCGAGGGTTCTTGGAGTCAATGCATTCAGACCAAGTATGCATTACGAGGCATAGCAATTCAGATACCATTTGCAAATTTTTCGAGGTCAATGGGAAGCGAACACAGCCAATATCGACTAGATAACTGAATGCAGTGGACTACTCTTTGCCTACAATTTGGACAACCACAGAATATTGTATAGGACATGGTTTAAAATTATTTGTTTTTACATCCCCCTTTTGTCGAAAGACGAAGTGGTTGTAGCAGATTCAAAAGGTTACACAATAAAAGTTGTCCCTATGTTCCCTATTTTGAAATATGCCAAGTAAACTGCTAACTTTTTGCCTATATACGAT